ATAAGACAGAGAGGCAAGGCAGAGAACACTTTGCATTTACTGAGAAAATACAAAGTGTTCTTTCAATGACATCTGTGCCAAGTGGGCAACCCCCTGAGTTCAGTAAGAAGCTGTGCAGCCATTCGGCACAGGGCCCAGAAACTAGCAGCAATCACTGTATTAGTGGTGACTTCTACGGTGATTTCAAGCTTCAACAGGGATCCCACAGGTATGGCACATACATACTAACATTGATCCAAACTGTAAAAAATTACCATACCTGTAATTTAGTTTTAAAACCTAACATTTTTACCAATTGTTTTAATTCATAAAATGAGGATATTAAAATGAAATACAGTATACGCATAATTGTTATGTTGCCCATTACTATCTATATACTGTACATTTGAATATAAAATAATGCTGGAACATGGCATGCATACACTGAGGATAGTTTAAAATGATTTAAACATTTAACAATATATACATGTACAAATATTTGTTTATAGAGCTCAGGTTAAAACATTACAGACTCTTGTTTTAGGCATGTTTTTGAAGCTAGAACTATGTGAATGTATGATTTATTTTTCATCCCTTCAGGCTTTATCATTCATCTTTTCCCACATTGCCTCTTTATTCAGGAAGAGCTCCTGACTGCACATGGTGTCACATGAAACCTAGAGTTCATCGCAGTCTACTGTTATTAAAACGACAAGGTAGTTGAGGAAATGAACCACAGGCTCAGTCCTAATTCTACTGTGTCAGATGAGGAGGCATATCCAGCTATTTGCATACTAAGAGCTTGCTTCTGTTCTCTACAAAATCTATACAAGGCGCGGAAATGTTATTGCATTTTCCAAGCCAATTAGATGCATATCAGACGTGGAATTATGCACCCTGCTACAGGACTTCAAAGACGTTCTGTGATTTTTTTTTTATCACTGTAGAATGCTTTTCAAAGCAGACAATATCAAGGTCATCAATATTATTATATTAGTAGAATATCCTACAGAATTGTACTGCATGATACGCCTATTTACATAAATGTCTGTCATTTTTTCAATGGTTGAATTAAAAGAAGTTGAATTTCTGTTCTTAAAGTTTACCTGTATCAATTTACACATCCTGCTAGAGTGTACAATAGATATTTCTAAGTGCCTGCTATCATTCAGTTTATCTTCACACTGCGCTAGAGTTTAAATTGTTGGGTGTTTGGTTATGTAAATACCAATTATAGCGCTCTGGCACATTCTCTGTACCTTCCCATTGGCCACTAAGTGAAATGGACAAACACACTGACCAACAAGGATGTGCAAAGGATAGGTGCGGGGTGAACAGATTGCATTTTCTGCAACAGTTGCTGGTTGTTATTTGTATAATGGGGTGGGGCTCCAGATTTTGGGCCTCTGAGCGCACTCTTAAAATGAACAAAACACTCAATAGGGGTTGATTTACTAAAAGCAAATAGACTTTAGCACCTTAGAAGTGCAGTTGCACTCATTTTCCCCAGTACTTGGTGGTGAAGCTTCACTGTGTAATGAATAGCTAATCAGGTGCAAAGGAAAATAAAAAAGAATGGCATTTTTGCTTCCACATGATTGGATAAGGGAAATCAGGGGAGCTTCACCGCATTCACTAAGCTCTGGGGAAAATGAGCGCAACAGCAGTTCCAAACCGTTTAGTAAATCCACCTCAATATGTTGGAAGATGACACGGATTTGTTTTAAGAACACCTATAGCCATTTTAGAAAACTACTAAAAACAAATTGAAAACTGAACTCCAGATTTTACATACATTACTAAAAATAATTTTAAAGCCAAAACTTTTTATTTTAGCTTTGGCTAAAATAAAGAAGTGTTAGAACACCATTCAGATTTATATTGCTTTGTGCGTAGAGAAGATTCACCCTCTTTATTGGTCCTGGTGACCTTTGTCCCTGGTACAGAAAGTAACGGGAAATCCAACATTTTGTAGTTGTCATGGAAACAGACGGTGAAAGAAAAACTTTTAATGTAGAAACCAGTTTGGGTAACAACTGTCTAAGAGGAGATATCCTCTGACATTGGAGAACCTCTGAGACAGAAAATAAAGACTTATTTCCCTGCTATGGTAAAGACAAGAGAAAAAAGTGGCAATGGTCCTAATCATTTACTACTCTATACAAAACTACAAAAGAAAAGTTTTGGCTTTACATTTACTTTTTTGTATTTTTTTAACACAACTAATTTAAATATCTGAATTTGACCTGCTTTCAGCCTTTTGTAAGATGTCTATGCCATCCTTGCCCTGCCTTTTTTTCCCCAGAGGAAACCTTAAAATCTCAGGTAATCCCTACTAAATGGAAACTGATGTGAGTCAGTGGGAAAAGTGTCCCTATGTTAGTGGCCAGTGGAAATGCCCCTCCCTTCACTGGTGATCAGAATGCTATCTTTATAGACAGCTAAAAATATAATTGATTATGCAGTTGGCTCTGTCAAGTGGCATTTGCTCCAGAACTATGCAGGGATCATCAAATAGGAGGTAAATAAGCCACAGCTCAGGGAAACCCTAGCAACTTCTGAAGGAACACTGGTTGAGAATGGCTTCTTCATACAGCAGTACAAACGCTAATAGAGGGAGATACAGTACTTGGGCTCATTCAGGTGTCCTGCATTCATATATGCTGAATGGAGCATAAAACAGACAACTAAAAATTCAGTCTGTTCCTGCACTGTCAAGTCATATGCTGGGCAGGCAACTTATCTAGCTGTGTCCCCTAACAGGAGAGAAAATTAAGCACATCTGTCTGGCAGAGTTGTGTAAATCTTAGGAGTGCATGCATGGACAAACAAGTCCCTGAGAACCTAAAACATCTCCTATATCTGTATTTTAATAGTGTATTTAGGCATTAAGCTTTGAAACCATTGCAGAGAGAATGATGTGGGCATCATGCAGCAACTTATTTAAGTTGCCAAATTGATAAAGCAGGACTCAAGTGCCACGGAGTCAGGTCAGTATCTTGTAACATTAACGGAGGAGTGCAGGCAAAGCTCAATTGGCTCGTTCTGCACTCCTGTGACCCACTAAAGCCCACTGTTGACTGACATCACAGACCCGGTCCAGTCTGGGGAAAGATCATGACCATATGGTTGGGATCCACCCAAGAGCCTGAAACGGCACCAGGCTCAGCCTCACAGCACGCCATTGGGAGCCAGCAGCTCCCTCCCGCTTCACAGCCCAGTGATCCAGTGAGTGCTGGGGGGGGGGGGGCAGAGTAGACAGCAGTGACTGACAGTCACTGCTCTCTGCTCAGAGCATAGGCGAGAATGAAGTGATCACTCAGTTCTCTACCTTAGAGACGCCGGGGACAAATACAGCATTGGATTGATTCTGCATCCACCTAGGTAAGTACGATTTAAAAAAAAAAAAAAAAGAAACATACTTCTTTTTTAATCCTTTAGGAAAATCTCATGAATGCACAAAAAGAAAACCCAGCTAGGACAGAGCTGCTCTGCTGACCAGGATTCAAACCATGGACCCCAGTGCTGTAAGGCAAAAGTGCTAACTCCCATACCCATACCACATATATATATACAGTGTATATATATATATATATATATATATATATTTATATAAATATAGCAAATAAATACAAATGCACAAACAGCATGACAAACTTTACTGAAGACTCGAAGACTCAATGCCTTTGCATTTGTCCTTGAAAATTATTGCTAAAGACACTTAATGCTCATTTGCACGAGTGGCACTCTCTGAAAAGTGATCCACAGTGGGTTTTTTTTTTTTTTTGCAGCTGAACAAGAATTTTAAATGTTAATACTGTACCTCAACCATGAGCTAAACATTTACTTGAATGGGTCACTATTGGTAGATGAACATGACCTCTTGTATACCTTTTGCAGCACTGCCACCATGGCAGTGTGTACTAACATGGTGGGTGGCCATGTTAACTTGCAGCTGGGCATTCAGTAGGGCAGTAAAAGGACAGAGCTGCTCATGTCTTCTTTAGAAATTCATAGAGAAAGCTGAATGTGTGTTCAATGGCCAAGCAGATCTTGTTTGTTGTAGATCTAGAGGTAATTATGAATGTCGAGTTCCTTTTTGCCCACTTCTAAATGGAAATGGTAGCATTCACAAAGATGCATTCTTATGAACTTCAATCACAAAATGTCATTACAAATTCAACTTGTCTTTTTTATATTTCCAATAACTTTAGTAATTAATATTACCAAGAAAGACAAGGCCAGTTTAAGGTGGTGTCCACTGATGATTTCTTCACAGCATGAAATGCCTGATATTTCAGGAGGTCAATCTAATATTAGGTAACATGTCCCCAGCATGTAGTTTAAAAGCTGTTAATTCTTAATGGAGGAAAATAACCTTCAAATATGTGTTAAATGAATGAAAAAAGCTATTACTGAGGTTTTCTCCCTTCAAGACAAACGTAAGTATTTCACAGAATATTAAGCAAAGATTTAAATTCCACACTTTTACATCTTCGACTGAAGCTAAAATTATATCATACCCAAAGCTATATTCCTAGTAACTTTGCAGAGAGAAGCTTATTTCAGCTTACTGCTGCTTCATTAGACTTTCATGCATGGTTTAGTGCTTCAGACAACTTGGTTTACCTTTATCAGTGGTTTCTGACTAGTAGCTTGTAAGCCATTTGTATCTCTCTAGTCCCTTTAATCAAGTGTGTGTCTAAATGCCTAGAGGATTATAAATGCCTAAAATGTGGGAAGCCAGACAATGGTTGGCTTATTTATGCCAGAAGTTGACAAAAGTTGTATGCTGTTTGAAAATGTAGAAAAAAGGAAGGCTTAGATTTATAAAACAGGGAACAAAAAAACTGATTTTAACCGCCTCCTGCCCACCATATAAGGAAATGACGGGCGCAAGGCGGTTCTCTCATTCTGGCAGGATGTCATATGGTGTCCTCCCACTCTAACCGCATGTGTGTGCCCCCAGGGGGCACAGCATGGCGATTGGTGGTGTGCTGTGTCCCTGGGACACAGCGGATCACCGATCAACGGAAATAGCCGATGACGTTGGCTCTGTCATGTGATCAGCTGTGTCCAATCACAGCTGATCGCATGTAAATAAGGAAATGCCGGTTATCGGCATTCCTCTCCTCACGATCTGTCACACTGACAGCTTGTGAGGAGAGGAGAGTCATTAATCAACATTACTCAGAGGGGACATGTACACTGATCATCAGGGCAATGATGATCAGTGTGCCCTGATGATCAGTGTAGTCCCATCAATGCCACCTGTCAGTGCCCATCAATGTCACCTGCCAGTGTCCATCAGTGCCACATCAATGCCATATATCAGTGCCTACCAGTGCACATCAATACCACATATCAGTGTCACCTATCAGTGCCAGTCAGTGCCAGTCAATGCTGCCTATCAGTGCCACCTATGAGTGCCATACATGAGTGCAGCCGTTCAGTGCCCATCAGTGATGCCTGCCAATGCCCATCAATGCCACCTACCAGTGCCTCCTCATCAGTGCCCATCAGTGCAGCCTATCAGTGCCCATCAGTGCAGCCTCATTAGCCCACATCAGTGAAGGAGAAAAATCACTTATTTACAAATTTTAATAACAGAAACTAAGAAAAAAGTTTTTTTCAAAATTTTAAGAAGTTTTTGGTTTGTTTAGCAAAAAATAAAAAACCTAGAGGTGATTAAATACCAACAAAAGAAAGCTCTATCTGTCTAAAAAAATGCTAAAAATTTCATATGAGTACAAGGTTGCATGACCGTGCAATTGTCATTCAAAGTGCGACAGCACTGAAAGCTGAAAATTGGCCTGGGCAGGAAGGGGGTATACGTGCCTGGTAGGCAAGTGGTTAAAAAAGTTTTGTTTGCATGCAGCATCAATCGATATAAAAAAAATGATCCGATTACCCCATGAACACATTTGAGGTGGAAGGAGGAATCACTCACACTGTGCTATTTTGTTCTGAAGGCAGGAGACTTTCCCACTATCAGAACATACTGATCAGTGCTTCTGGCTATATCCAGCAACACTGATCAACTGGGAAAAACCCAACAGGTTGGTTGTACAGAAGTTGATTTGTAGATTGACTTCTGTACAACCAGGGGTCAAGTTTACCCTTAACACAGGTGGTCAGACACTATAGCTGGCTTCTGTGTTTTTCACCTATAGCAGCCCCCTTTCCCATAAGGCAAGCAGACCTACCGGTACTCAGTTGCCCACAGGACTTATATACAATGTTATAGTGCCTGGCTACCACACTGGGTCAGGAGTGAACTAAGCACAGCAAAGAGGTGTTTGCAGTTGGCAGAAAGGAAGAGTGGTTCAATGAAAGTCTGGGTACAAGGTAAGGTTCAGAATAGTTGGGTCAAATCGATAGTCAAAAGGCAGTCAGAGTTCAGAGAGTAGCTGATATCTGATCTGAGGTTATCAACGAAGGAATCTAGACCAGCAGGCAAGGCAAACAAACAGGGAGTTTGGAGAATGTTTTAAAAACAAAATATTACAAGCATGAGACTGCAGGCTTGGCTGGCTTTTAAACCAGGTTTTTTTCTCCACCATGAGACTGGCTACATCAATCACCTTGCAGGTGGACAGACAGACGGAGAGATTGTATCACTTCCAAAACCAGAATGATGGACTCAGACCAGCAGCTGTAATGGAACAGGATAGCTACACACTCCTGACACCATGGTGTCCATACTTGGATTGAAATTTGTCTGGTTCCTGCTGAACCAGATGATTTTGATCCACATATGGCCAGCTTAACACCTACTGTGCATTTCATACGCAGTTTTGTAAAACATGTACATGTAAAGCTGTTACTCATGTTGTGTTAAATTGTAAACATCCTGTACCCACTTAAGGTATAGTTTACTCACAGCTCAACTCCCAATTATATATAGTATAAAAGACACAAAGTCATGCAACTCTCTGCAGTTTGTGCAAATACTCTGCTTGATAGAAGCATCTTGAAATCTGCTATATAACAGTATTCGAACTGGAAGGAAAAGGTGTAAAATTGGGAGCCAATTAGAAAGGCTGCAAGCAAATATATTGAGGAACATGCTGATGGACGGAGAGAACAGAGAGAGCAGAGGGATTGCTTCATCAGTTTTCTGCTGCTCTTTCACTGTCCAGTCAGCAAGCTGGGAGTGGAGAGAACATTGTGTATTCCTTAATTCCTTGAGTATCCCATGAACCTGTCTACCCTTTAAACCGGAGTTACAGCCATTTTTGTGTGTACAAAAACTGTAGCTGCCAACTTTTAATAAACACACACTCACCTGTCCCAGGGTCCAGTGATGTGCTCACCTGAGTCATCCCCTCTCTCCTTCTGTCCCCGGCGCCGGCATCTCAACTGTGGTCAACAGGCTGTGACAGATTGTGACTGCACAGCCGGGTGACCACTGCGCATGCGTGACTTGCGCTGCACATCCTGATTGGTCTGGCAGTCTTCTGGAACCTGTGAAGTTTTCCAGGGGACTGCGGGAGGAAGGAGGGGGGCTGAACTTCCAGCTCACTGCACTGCGGCGAACTGAGCTGGAAGTGGGAGTGGGTCCCTGTCAAAACCAGGTATCCGCTCCACTGCAAATATGGCAGTGGAGGGGGGGAGGCAAGCATGTGGAGCTTCCACTTTTGGGTAGAACTCTGCTTTAAGGTATACTTACCACTGGTTGAGAACTTGTGCACAACATATAAAAGAGCTGTACGTTTACTATTTTTACTGTGCATTTCACATTCTAATACATCAGCACAAATAATCCATCTTCTTAATCATGACTATTTATGGAACTGTGCTCACAGTGGCAAGAACATTGCACAAACTTTCCTTTGTCAAAATCAAGTTAACGGTGTTAAGAACATTTAATACTGTTCATGAACAATGGTAGACTCCAATATATTACATCTTTTAGTTACTATTCAAGCAGGTTTTTAAAAAATCCATCAGCAGAATCCAAAGTCAAAGGTGGCACCCTTTAGAATTACGTTGGAGCACAGCACCAAAATAGTAGGTGCTTGTGCCCTAGTAATGTACCTGTCACAGACAGGTGCATGAATCTGTCCATGTCTGCACTGAGGTCAGAATGTCCACAGCTCTGTACGTCAGCACAAAGCTGGTCTTAATTACCACCAGTTTCTTAATTTTAAGACTGTTGGTAATTCTTTAAAGTGTTACTAAACCCATAACAGTAAAATCTGTATGTATATGCAGTAAAGCATGCTTGTCATACTCACTGTGGAACCTAAGGGGTTAATCCTCCACATTGTGTAAAATGGCTGTTTGATCCTGTCTTCTCTGATCCTCCAATTTTTTTACTGTCCCCAATCCATCTGCCATAGTACAGAGCAACAGTGGCAAGTGTGTACATGCTCTGTTTGATGTGGGGAGGGTGCATGTGATCGATGCAGGGCCAATCAGCTCTTTCCAGACAGAGTGTCAGAGGTTATGCAGCTTCATAGGACAGTCAGAGGAGAATGAAAACTCCTCCTACAAGGTTAACTATTACTCAGCCGGACACTGATAGAAGTCCCGAGACTGCTATATACAAATGATGAGAAGAGGTATTTACATAGCAGTTTATATTTACTTAAATAATTGCATTTCCATGTTCTGTGTACTGTGGAATACCTTATATAGTGAATGCAGGGTCCTGGGTTTATTAACACTTTAAGATATTGTACCTGCTATAGTGAGAGTGTCTTAAAGTGGGAGTAGTAAGAACAACCTTAATGTGACGCATGTGTCAGTAATGTAACCAACACATACACGAATGCTTACCTGATTTAGGCACAGGTAGTTCTTAAAGGGACATTAAAGGGTTTTTTTTTTAATAATAAACATGCCATACTTACCTATTCTGTGCAATGGTTTTGCATAGAGCAGCCTCAATCTTCTTTTTCTTAGATTCCCCTTTGGTGCTCCTGGCTCCTCCTCCTTGACCAGTGCCCTCAATAGAAAGCCGCTTGCTATAGGGGCACTGGTGCGTGCTCACTCCCGAGCCCCACTTTACGCATCCATAGGACACACAGAGCCATGGTTCAGCTCCGCCCCCACTCTTTCCTTATTGGCTTACTGGCTGTGATTGACAGTGGTGGGAGCCAATTGCTCCCGCTGTTGTCTTAGCCAATGAACAGAGGGAGACCCAGGACAGCCGCTGCTGTTGTGCACTTCTTTGGATCAAGAGGGGGCTTAGGTAAGTATTAGGGGGGCTGTGGAGGAAGCAGCACAAAGAAGGATTTTTGCCTTGCATAGAATGTATGAAGGTAAAAAACCTTCAGACTTTACAACCACTTTAAGGGAACTACCACTAGAAATGTGTCATTAGGGCTATTTTGATTTCCCTGACTGATGTAATTATGCAGCCCTTTCAATGGCCTGGGAACACACAAAACAACACACACCAGACGTGTGCAAACCAAACTCTGAATAAAAACGCAGCTGCATCTACAAACTGCCAAAGTACTTACTGGCAAATCACACTACTACTGCTTCCAAGGAGAATAACATCTTACAACCTAAGATCCTGCTTTTAAATATGGTCAGCAAAAGGAGAAAAAAAGATCCAGATGCTGTATAGAATACAGACAGTTAAGGCGTCTTTTTACTAGACTTTCACTGCTCACTGTGTCTTAACTTGCTCCACCTTTTTATTACAGTGTAAAATCCCACTGTTGTAAATTAAACTAAATTTTTAATTTTGAGTGTATCTAAACCCAAATACAAAAGATTAACTTGCAAAAAATTTCAGCTTACCAGTTGGAAGGCAGCTGTCAGTGCTGGACCACAGAGCTATGGGTGGGAGATTCCCCAGCTTCACATACATAATGTAGCAATGTTCATGACATCATTGTCATGTAATATGTCATGTAATGTGATCACATGGCAGAATTTGTGGGAATAAAAACACTTCTAGAACATTTCTAGAACTTGTAATGTGATCACATGGCAGAATTTGTGGGAATAAAAAACACTTCTAGAACTTTATGTAGATAACTGCACATTTGGAGTCAGATTTCAGCTACTTAAAACACATAGGTAGCATAGAGTACTGACAAGCTGTAGGAGTAATATTTTGGCAATGCTTCCTATATACTGTGCATGTTTTTATCTGAACACTACATTCCATAGTACACAAGGAGCTTGCAAATATGATGTGAGGGAACAAAGCTGACCTCATCAGCATGTTGTTGCTCTTTCTCCATCCAATCACAGCCTGGGGTAGGCTTTTGAGCAATATGTATTGAGAAAAATGTTAACTAAGGTTAACTTAGACCCTGTTCACATGTCGCATTTTGGAATCATGGGCATCAGAAATTGTTGTTACTCTGCCTGCAATTCCAAATCAGGACAAAACAATTCATTCTTAATGGCACCCCAAACATGGTGCAATTTTGCTCCGATTGCTGTGCAATAAAACATGCAAAAATTGTGGCAAACCGTATGTGTGCTCAGGGCCAAAATTTGGTCCTTGAGTTTTTTGCCACGACAAATGCACATAGGGCAAGAACT